AACATAATTGAAAGGGTTTTGGTTGCTAAAAAGGGATTTTAATAGCTAAACAAGCTAAAGCTGCCAAATGATTACACAACTCAATTCATGGTAAAGCCTTGAAATTTTAGACATGTATTCTGACTTCAGGGGGCTGGCTGTAAAGTGACATCTTGGTTTGATGAACTCAGCTCTGTGGGAGAGAACTGACATTCTTCTGCACTGTGTACGGACAAAGTGACACTAAGGACATGAAAACACCAGTTCACACAGACCAGAGTGACCTGCACCTGCAGTGCTACCTCTGGCTTCAGTCCACATCACTAAGCAGGAACGGCTTCAGGTTTCAAATGAACAACCAAAAAAAACATTAAAAATATTAATGAGCAGAACCTCATAGTAAAAAATATTACTCTTTTATGCCAATATGCTTAGTCTGTATATTACTTTAAGGGTAGAAGGTGCCTGAAGGGATGGGAATTGTTTCCAGTCCCAGAAGCTGGTCAGAGAACAGCATTGCCACTAAATCGAAAGAAGGGACATGTTAGCACACAGACTAGGAACCTGCTTTAAACAGTAGCTGAGCAGATTTTTTTACTATTATGAGAAGCAGCTGAGAGACTGTCATTAAAAATAATAGAAAACATATGTTATGTGTTCTCACACAGTGGAAATTGTGTGGAAGTTCCACATATGATCATCCCTTCCCACTGAGCTCAGGGGCACAGCTTTGCTTTGACGAGGTTTCAAAACAGACTAAGAGTCTGCTGGTGCTTCCTTGAGAAAAACAAAATTTGTGATGGAGTGTCATGAATGTCACCCATTTGAGGTACCAATAAGAGAGATTTCTCAGTATTGTAAAACCATGATCTTCTAGCATTTATTAAAATGTAATGGTGAGGGGACTTCACAGCACAGATATTGGATCCCTCCAAAACAGTGGTGTTTATATGTGATGTAAGAGCATTCTTTCTCTTTCCCTCATGTTGCTTCTTAACATGCTGTATCAGAGATTACTCTTGCCACAATAAAGGGTAGCAGAAGGGATTGCACGGCAACATCCCACTCTGCTGCCAAACAAGTTTACCTTTGTTGGCTAAACTCAGCTCACTCATCTGACCTTAAACTAAAACCACAGAATGCAATTTCTTGTCTCAGCTGAGGTGTGGAGTAATATCACACAGCTGGCACGTGGCAACAGCTATCTGGAAACACAGTTTGAACCTTGCACAAAATTTTAAGTCTACAGTATGCTAAAGGTCACACTGATTAACTTGGATGGGAATTAGCAGCGTATAAATTCCTTACTCCTAATAAAGCAGGCAGGGAAACCAGTCTCCAATCCATCATTCTGCAATTAATTAATAAAGCAATATTAACTACAAAGACTCAGCTACCAGAATAAGGTAATGGAGTAGCTATGGTTGCTTTTTCCAGCAGTATTAGGTACTTCCAGTGAGCTCCTACATATGAACCTTTTTTGCTCACTTTTGGAAGACTGGGAGTTGATGACGCTACAGATGCTTATGCCAGGAGAGGAGCCAGTCCAGGGAGTGCAGCATGTGGATGGTTTTTAAGTTGTATCATTTCAAGCACAATGACAAAAAACTGCCATGGGAAAACAATGTGACTAAAACTATGTTTCCTGTGGCTTACTAACGGAGTATTCATGCACAACATTAAGCTGATGAATATGAATTTGTTGGACACATTATCCTTTCTCCCTTCGTGCAGGTTTCAAATATTATAATTATGTCTGGTTTAATTACTATTAGTCTCAGTTGAATTGTCACTGCTTTCAGGATTTTCAGTGTGCAGAAATTTATATTTAAAATTTGCCTTATCTGAAAGCAAACTTTTCATGTTGATTTAATTTTGCATGAATTGGGCGTTATTGTATTTTAAGGTCTGATCTATCACCATGCTTACTTAAGAAGAGGAGAAGCATTCTCTGTTGATTACTGCTGTCTTAAATACATATAAAGCCACTTGACATGAGTTAATTCTTATGTGGCTTTGTCTTTGGATTATTTTTCCGGACTCCATAATCACACTCTATTCCAAGTGTAAGAATTTACTTCAGACTGAGGTAGAGATAAGAGATCTGAACCATCTCTTACACTAACAGAGTAGCTGCATGGCTCCTCTGGGGTTATTAGGATTGCTACAGTCAGATGCTTCATCCACCACAGACAGAGATCTGAATGCTTTCCAGGCAATTAAGGAGGTCCACATGCTGAGCAAGAAGCTGTGGAAGACACATCCAGCAAAAGGATGCACCTGAATTCTTCCTACTCTCTAGAAGTCAGAAACCACACTCACACTCTACTTCAGACTCTGTACATTTGGGATTTTGAGTGCAGTAGATTCAAAAAGGCTCATCTGGAGTACTCAACCTGTACTGCGACCTACTCCCTTAAAGCATTCATTTGGGAACTGAAGGCATTGTCTTTTCACCCACACAGAATTAAAACTTGCATCTCTTAAAGGGTTTCACCAAACCACAAGACTAGAATCACAATAAAACTGAAGGTATTCTCCCTTCACCCTGATGAGGAATAAAATCCAAGTGTGACCCACTGCAGAAAAGGAACTGCTAGATGAGCAGAACAGAGAAGAAAGGAACAGAAGGGAGCTTCACTCCATAATCCAATAGTAAAAGCATTAACTCAGGAAAGAAGAAAAGGGAAACCTCACTTCACTGCTCCTATTCAGTATTAGACTGCCCTTTCCCTTTCCTGTTCAATGAATCCCACTTTTCCAGCCACTCCTCTGCTTTCCACATTTAAGAAGAGATCTGAAGAGTGCAATTTATGTCACTCCATGTTATTCAGCAGCTTTCAAAACATAAATTATGTTTCTCAGAGGTTCTGAGTTATCTTCTGGTGAAGGCACCTCGAAACAGACCTTTTTATTTCCCATCCCTGCCCTCAGGCTCCCTCTGAGGGGAAAGTTCAGCTGTCCATGTTCTCTCTCTCCCAGGGCATTTGGAGGAACAGCCTGAGTGATGGTACGTGCACCATCAGCCACAGGATGTCTTTCTCAGAAGATGCCACTGCCACATTGGTGCCATATGCCTTTTTATTTCATGACACCTGTTTACACAGTATGAATCAGGAAAAAGATTACTTTCACAGCAGAATGGGAAATCATAGAGCATTCACAGACAGGCAGTGGGTTCAGGGAATATCTAGTGAAAGCATTTAACAATTCATATTGTCAGAATCTGTACAACTGTCCTGATACATGCTGGTTTCAGTCTCCCGTGTAAGTGCCACAGTTGCAAATCATTTTGAAAGCCAAAGAAATCAAATTCTGTAGCTAAAAATTAGTTATAAGCAGAAAAACAAGTATGTACTTTTTCTGATTATTATTACTTAACATATCCTATCCATGTGTTGGTTTTGAGTAGGGATTTCTTGCTTTATTGATTATATTTCTTAGTATTGCAAAGTAAATAAGAGAGTTGACTTTTATGACTTTGTAAGTAAAAATATTATCTCTCAAGTGCAGAATATTTATATCTGTTATGATACACAATGTTAAGACAGCATTGCTGGCCTTTGGAAAAGTTTGAGAAAAGGTTTGTATTCATTTTGTTAATGCTTCAAGTGCTGAAAAGACTGGTAGATTAGTTTAAACCGAAGTGGTTCTGAGTTAAAGTGCTGCATAGCATGTGCAGTGATCTCAGTCATGGGGAGATGCTCCCTTTCTCTCACTCTTTTGTGAGTTCGTAGTTGAGGACAGAAGTCTTCTATGGCTGCACCAGATAAATCAGATCTGTCCAATCATCAATGTCCCCTCCTACATTGTGATTTGAGCATGTAATAATTGTTGCAATGAAAGCAGTGCTACAGGTGTGTTACATGATATGACAAAACAGAAGTACCATAATGTTGAGTAGAGAACAAATAAGTTGATTTAAAAACCTACAGAAAGAAAGAAAAAATTGGTAGCATTTTCCAACCTTGAGAAAAGTTTCACTAAATTATTTTTGAAAAGGAAAATGGCAAGTAGCATTTTCTGAGAATTGCTCCTACCTCCCTGCTATCTTCTACTTCTCAAGATATGGAGGCACTTCTGTGTCCCACTACATATGAAGGCACAGGAACTTGCACATGGACACAGGTGGGCGCAGCACAGCAGCACTGCCGCATGGCACTATTACAGATATCCCTGCAGGAACCATCTGGCTCTCAGCTAAGTTAATGTCTTCCTGACCCTGATCTGCTGTGTCCTATAAAAGTTTATTTTCATTTTCATTTCCATTTCTCTCACAAGAACCGAAAATTAACCAAAAGCACTTTAAGACCTTACGTAGCATTTTCCTTTTTTTTCTGCCCTCCCAATGCATTTAATTACTTTCCACAATCCAAACAAGTTTGCGTTTATAATAAGCCACAGGCCCTCTGTTCTTGTGGATTTGTGGTGCTGAATCGCTTTGAACTCTCAGAGGTCAACCCCCCACTCTAATACACAGGTGCCCTAAGAGCATTGTAACATTCAACATGGTTTATAGTGCACTGTGTATGTCCTGGAACATATTTCAAGCAGTACATGTGTAAGTGACAGAAGTGTGTGCTACAGTACCCAATTCACTCAGTGAATTCACTACATTTTACAGAGATGCTTGGGCAGGTTTCCATCCTTAAGGGACACCAGCTGACTGCTTGTTTGCTGTTATGCGTATGTCTGACAGGAACCTTGTACATTTGGTAACAACGGGGTGTTTTTTCCCAGACCCTTCACCCTAGGAGCAGTTGGCACTAGGGAAATGCAGGGCAAACCCAAGGGAGCACAACCCATGCTATAGAGCCACTCACTATGGTGAGTCACTCAGAATCACAGACCATGCCGCGTTGGAAGGGACACACAAGGGTCCGCAAGATGGCGGCGAAGACGGGCGGGATCGGCCGCGTGCGCGCGGGGGCGGGGCTGGGTGGGGGCGGGGCCGGGCCGTGCGCTCACTGCGCGCCGCCGGAAGTGACGCGGTTCGTGGCCGTGCGGGCCCGGAGGTGCGGGAGAGGGGCCGCGGGCGTTGCGGGGGCTGCCGGTGTGCGGGGTTGTGCGGAATCAGCGGGTGTGCGCGGGTCGGCCCTCACCGCCTTCCCCGTGGGACTAGGAGGAGCCCCCGAGCGCCGCCTGGCCAGGTGCGCCCGCGGGTCGGGTGGTCGCGGCCTCCCCTGCCGTGCGGGCTCTCCGCGGCGGGCGGAGGCCGCGGGCCGGGCGGTTCCGTGGCCCCGCGAAGAGCGCGGCCGGCGGAGAGACCCGGGCCGGAAGCCGGGCGGTGGGGTCGGTGGCAGGGCCTCGGCAGTCTCGCTGTGGCCTGGCAAGCGGGTCGCGGGCCCGGCTGTGCCCGTGAGCTCCCGGTGCTGCTCCACAGCCGCTCTCCTGCCACAGGGGCTGTGTGACAGCCAGAAAGCGGAATAGGCTAGAGTCGGGGGGCTGCTTGTTTTGGTTTAAGGATCTATATAAGCATGGCTTTAAAGAGCAAAATAAAAAATGCAGGTTCCGGCACCGTGTGCAGTTGAAAGATTTTTGATTATCTCATATGTGTTCATTCATAGGTGAAATGTTTTTCATATGCTGAATTCCAGCTTGGGTTGTCTGGTTGCTGCACGTTCAGAACTTCATAAAAAGGCAGGAAATCAAGATGAAGAGCAGGGTGACACAAGTAAATGTAAGTGTTCTTCAACCTGAACTGTAGAGTTTTATTATTTCCATGTTACTGGTAATTAGGTCTGTAGTTGATGTTATGTTACATCAAGCTTCCTGAATGCAAAGCAAGCAATAGCTGTAAATGACAGTAGCTGCTTACGAGATAAATACTACTAGTAAGTAGTAACAACTACTGTAAGAGTCAGTAAATTACAGCTATTTCTAGCATCTGTTGTCCTAACACTGAAAGTCCTGAATATTATTGGGATATAACGATAAAGTAGTTAGTCAAAACTGACTGAATGATGATGGCTCAACAGAGAACATAGGCATGTGGAGGAATGGAGAAAGATTAACAATGATCTTGAAAAGATAAAGCGACAGTAAGTAGCAGTTAATTTGGCAACTTTATGTCATACTATGAATGCTGAAGCTTTTCATTTTAAAAGCTGTGTGGTCCATTTCTGAATAGGTGGGAGTGATTTTTTTAGGAATGCAAGAAGAAAAAATTTAAAGTTATTTTTTAAAATTATCATTTAGAAATGCTGTGTTTGTACAGTACGGTACATTTGGGACAGGTTAGCAGAGCAATGCTATTCTGATACACTGCCTCAAATTTGGTATTTCTCTACCTGTGCTTCTAAAGTTTGACCCTGCATAGGCTTCCTTTTGGATCCAACTTTTCTGACTGAAGTGACTTTTAATAGGGATGCTTCTACTATTTTCCAATTTGGTGGTTGTGGTAGTGCTTCCTCATCTGTTAAAATAAGCCAGTTAGCAAGAGTTTTGGACTGTTTGGACACTTTCAGTTAATCATTGTGATCAAAATGGACAAGGAAGAAGGCTAACTTGTGGCAGAAAGGCTGATCATGAAGAGCTGAGAGGAACAAGTTCTTCTGCGAAGAGGTGCTTTTGCAAGGAGATGTGATAAGGCCAAATACAGAGACAGACATTACATTATTTTACTTCTGTGAACACTTGTGTTTTTGATTCTGCTTGGGCAAAGACAGATGATGTAGAACCCATGATAATGGATCATCCTAAAAAGATCCACTACTTCCTTCCCATCTGCTAAATAGGATTTAAATACAGTAAATGTTCCATGTTTTTTGAAGATTTTTATTACTGCTTTCTTGGAAGCTTAAGATATAGACTTGCATTATATTATTGGGCGGGGGAAAAAACCAATTTAAGGGCTTTTCTTAGCCTTGAATTCAGTCATCTGCTCTGTGGTATAATCCCGCAAATGACTATTGAAAGGGGAAGAAAACCTTGTAGAAAGTATGTGAATTTCTTGTACTAGCTTTGCCATCAAAGGTAATGTTGCCCTAAAATTAAATTGTTAGATGGACTTACTTTTATAGGGATGCCTGCTCCCAGTAATGCAATGCATTGGGTTTGTATCATTGTCTTGATGCAGGCAAGATAATACTGGGTATAATTTTAATACAATGTTAGAAATGTACCCTCAGAAAGGCAATATTCTATGATAAGTTATAGTGACCTCAAAAATGTAATTATTTATTTGCATATATGCACACACTCCCCAATTAAGTTTTGGAGATCATTGGTATAACAGTCCACCCTGGTCTGCGGTGACCTCCACCACCTGGTTTATGGAGGAGGTGTCATTGTATTCTAGTAACCAGCAGTTTTAACTGGTTCTCTGGTGGGTCAAAAGCTAGTGTGCCAGCATGTTGGTGGAGAGGGTGCCACTTCAACAAATGAGGTGAGAATTCCTGCAGGAAGTTCAGTCAAGGTGCACAAACAAGCCTTTTTGTTGACTTTCTGCATGAGGTGAGGTGTTACCTATTTCACAGTTAATCACTGTCTGACAACATGGTTTTGAAAAATGATAAATAATGTTCTGAGTGAAGAGAGGACCTTTGGAATAAAAGTACTGAGATTACAAAAACTGCTTCTTAACTCTACCAAAGTAGTTTTAAAACATCTTGAGAAATGTCTTTCTGTGTATGTTGTAGATGCTGTCGTGCTCTGATTTTTGAGTATGACTCCATACTTCCATATGTCGTATTCAGCCCATGGAATTTGCTGTGAACTGTTTAAGTGTGTATGACTTAAACAATCCCACAAATCTGCCAGATAGAACAGTGTCACTTAGGTGTTTATATATGAAGCTAGGAATGACTCATGAGAAAATAAATCATGGTTAAAAAAAGGAAGAAGATAGGGAGAAATTACTCAATAAAGGGGGTTTTTAGGAGAGAGGAAAGACACTCTTCAAACCAGAAGTGGTAGAATTTTGTTGATGGTGTTGCATGTGATGCAACAGAGTAAAATGGCATTTGGAAGGGGGAAGCAGGGAAGTGGTCTGTATACTCTAGCCCCCAGCAGTAATTGACAGCAGATGCCTTGAAAAATTTAGGAACAGGGCAAATATAAAAGTACTTGCCCACATACACTCCCACTCTACCTGTTGGCAGCTTCCTGAGCCAGATAAATTTTTTTTGTAACCTATGCGGATTTTTCCAGTGTTTGTCCAGTGTCTTGAACCCATTTGGCATCTGCAGCATCCTGTAGCAGAGAGTCCAGTACTTCATTATGTGTTACTAAGAGAACCAGCTCCTCTTGTCATAACTGACTGCCTTTAGCTTTATTTGGAGGCCCTTCTTGTAAAGGAGTAGGGAACTGAAGATGTGGTATGCTTTGTTCTGAAAGTATGTGTTCACAGTCATGCTGGGGCTTGATTTTTTTTTCTTTGTTTTCTTAAAGCATGGATCCAGCCATGAAAGGAAGGAAAACTACAGTTCCCGACAAGGAAGTTTGTCTCCAGAGGACAGGTACAGTGAGTTTTATACGTTTCAATTCTATATAGATATAGATATAGATATAGATAGACACCTCAAATAGTAATTTCGAGAAGTTAAAAAAATTATCAGGTTGTGTTTCTTTTTCTTTATTACCGTAACTGAGTGGTGAAAAGTAAGTGTAGGTTTAATAAAATATTTGCATGTCAATATAACAGTAATTAAATGGATTTATTACTAGAACTAAATATTTAAAAATCCTTAGCATTTAGTTAAATTGTCATGGGACTTGAAAATGGAAATTAGATGCTGGCTTTTTGCTTGAACTCACATATTGCTGATATCACAACTGTCGTTTTAGGGCAAGACTTTTGTGCTGCACAAGCAAAAGTGTGCATGGTGCTGAATTTACCTTTGGTATTTAATGTTATTAATGTTTAATATTTAATTTTAAATTCTGGGAGGAGCTTCCTTTTACAGAGCTTTGATTTTTGATAATTTTTTCCTGACAAGAAAGTATTGTAAAAGTAGACTCTTTTATTTGAGTGGTGCGTATCTTGAAACTCAGGTTGCAGAATTGGAATAGTTGTGCATTGTAACATTGTATTGTAAGTAGATATTGTATTAATACCATTGCTTTTCTCAGCCTTTTACTAAGACTTTTTGTGCCTTGGGTTGCGAGCAGGGATATGGAGCATGATGGGTCTCCGTCTCCCAAAAAGAGAAGACACTCTGATGACAGCAGATATGATCAGGAATATTCAAGAAGGGAATACTATGATGACAGAAATTCAGATGGAAGGTATCAAACCATTTCTTAATCGGTAATAAAATACTTATTTTAAAAAATAAAATGTGAAAACTTTTCACGAACCCTTGGGTTTTTGGGTTTTTTTCTTTTTAGAAGAATGGAAAGGGGGAGAGAGAGACACTATGACAGATGGGAGGAGAGAGAATATGATCGGAGGAAGCAGAGAAGATATTCATCACCTGATCGTAGGAGTCCAGAGAGGTCAACAGTTCAGAGCTCACTTACTCATGATGAGGCCACTTCAAAGAAGAAAAAAGAAGAAGTGGATCCAATCCTTACTCGCACAGGTGGTGCATATATTCCACCTGCCAAGCTCAGGATGATGCAAGAGCAAATCACTGATAAAAATAGGTGAGTTGAAAGTGACATATTAGTTTTTTTGCTGAAAGCAAAACATTTAAGGGTTTTAGAGAATGTTGGGAAAATGAGATCCATTTAGAGGGCTGTGATCATTGTTTTGAAGATATATTTTTGTCAGAAGAGAGAGAAGAGAATCGCATTAAAACTGTACTTGCTTCTGCTGCAAAATGTAAATGGAAAAGTTGGATACAGAATGTAGCTAGGGATTTTTTGGAACAGCATAGAAAGCTGAACATACTGGGTTGGTATTACATTTTGGTATATCAGTGATTTTCTAGTAGTTAAATGTGTAGGTGTGAACTAATCTTCATGTTTATGCAGTGAATATTTTCTTACCTGTTTTACTGATTAAATGAAAATGTGAATGTAAGTTTTATATATATATATATATATAAAAATTTACTCAGTGCTACTTAAAATTTATGCTTTAATAATTTGTGATGCCTTCGTAATAGCTTGGCATATCAGAGGATGAGTTGGGAAGCCTTGAAGAAGTCAATCAATGGTCTTGTCAATAAAGTGAACGTTTCTAATATAGAAAACATCATTCATGAGCTGCTTCAGGAAAATATTGTTAGGGGAAGGTAAGTGTTTGTATTTTAAAATAATTCTTTTGCTTTTCTGGTTCTATGTGTACTGTTCACGTGTACATCACGGTGTGTGCTATGTGTAGTGTATGGGGTCTGGTCAGATTTTAAAATTACCCTTAGGCTATATTGTCCTATGCAGAATAGTCCCTTACTTGGGAAAGGGATTGAATGCTTGGTGGAATAAAACAGCGCAACCTTTTCTTAAAGGTTTTCCCTATGTGTTTTACTTGACTTGCAATTTACGGTTGTCACTGGCTGTTTATTTTTTTAGTGCTGGATGTTTTTTCTCTGGGACAAATAATATTTGTAGTCAGTATTTAGCAATACAAATTTTACTACAGTTACCTGCCTATGTTGTTTATTGTTGTAATGTAGAGAAAAGATGATAATGCTACTTGAGCCTCGGTACTAGGTCATGGTGATTGTGCAACTATTGTGTGATGACTTTCCTTGCATTAATTTTGATGTCATTGGGGGTTAAATCTGAAAGTCTAAAGGAGCATGGGTTTCTTAGGTTGACTACCATTTAAACAAACAAAACCAAACCACCAACACAAGAATTAAGTAAAATCTAGAGAGTGAGCAAGTAGTTCCTGAATGTCATTCCTGTCAAAAGTAATAATGAATCTCAGGGATTTGTAGGACTGCTTTTTACTTGCCCACATTTTATGTCCCCGAAACATAATTTTCATACAAGCAATAGTATTTTCATTTAGAAATAAGCTTATTGAATGTTTGTAGAATATACTGTCTATGGAAGTTTTTGTGTGTGGTTTATAAATGTCAAAGTAACATAGATGGGAAATGGCACCACTTCCCTCCTTCTTACACTGAAGTCTAACTTCCAGATTTGCACAGAGGTGCATATAAAAGTAATGACATGAAGTTTTGCCTAGCTGTTAAGTAATTTTCTGAGTTTTTAAGTTGAGGATAAATAAGAACTGAAACAGACCAGTTTCAGTCTGTAAGAAAGAGGTAACTAATAGTTTCAAAGTGGAAATATTCTGCTTCTGTGCACTAGTATGAGATGAGTTCTATTCCATTTGTCAATTCCAAAGTAAGTAGGAATGAGGTCCCTAGGCTGTTCGTATTTAGTACCATGTAGGAGGTTTTTATGAGGATTTCAATAGACCACAGAGAAGATAAGATAGCTGGATTCCAGTGTGTACTTTAAACATTCACATTTGGAGGGCTCTTTTTTCCCCTCCCCCTCACCTATTTGTAGTGGAGTAATACAGCAAAAGTCAAATTGTGTGTGCTCCTAAGCATTACAATAAGCAAAATTGAGAGGGGGGAAAAATAAGCCGCAGATTCTTTTCAGACTTTACTCTTGATAATAAATGTAAGAGAGATCATTAGAATAATAAAAGAACTATTCTCATGAGCCCTGTGTTTACATTTATTTAGGCTCTAAATAGTAGTCTTTTATAATCAGCCTAACTTGGGGTTAAAAAAGGGATAATTGCAGGATACAAGATGGCTGTTTGCATGCTTAGCATTTTCAAATGTATTTCTAAATGAACAATATTTAATGGAAGATAAGGTACCATTTTAAGAATTTCTGAGTTCAGGCAGATTGGGACAACGTGTTTTGCCAAACTCCATTTGTGGCATGATAAACATTTTGAAAATGACCATTTGGTATCTTCCAACTATTCCAACTGCACAATACTGTTTTATGTGATAAGTACTTGTTATTGTTTACTTTGGCTGAACACCATTTGAATAAAAATGCTACGTGTCTTATTACCAGAAAAATCTTAAAACTTACCTATTTTTACAGGGGATTGCTGGCTAGATCCATTTTGCAAGCTCAGAGTGCCTCTCCGATATTTACTCATGTTTATGCAGCTCTTGTGGCAATTATCAATTCGAAGTTTCCAAATATTGGTGAATTGATTCTCAAGAGGTTGATACTAAATTTTCGCAAAGGATATCGCAGAAATGACAAGGTATGTAAAACGTGAAGAAGCAACATGCTGAAACTTGTCATTCTGCTGTGTTAACTGTCTATCAAGTGTGGTCAAATTACGTACTTGAAAGGAACACAACTAAGAGCAGTTGAGACCAGTCTTTAGTACATTTAGTAGTATTAGAGTATCTTGAAACTTTGACAACCTATTCTGGATTGATACTGTGATAGTTTTTTGGTTTTTTTTCTTTTTGAAAGTCTACAGTCCTAATTGCAAACAACTCATGACTTAATTTTATTGTGAGATGCACAAATCTATGGTATGTCTGAGTTAAAAGTTGGTTTTTTTCTGTATGTTAAAATTTCCTGGTTTATTTCTTTTGCAGCAACTCTGTCTAACATCTTCAAAATTTGTCGCACATTTGATGAATCAGAATGTGGTATGTTACTTTATGTTTCTATTCAATCCAAACCATATAAGGCTAATTTTTAATTTTAAGGCAGCAGTAGCCTAAGTGAAGATGCAATCCCTGCTCTAAAGGTTCCTGAAAACCTGAGTGTGGTGCCTACCTTAAGTTGTTAGGACCTCTTTAGAAAAGACATTGGTCATTGTTTGTGCAGTTATCATCACTTATCGTTACACTTATGCTCCACAGCTTCCCTAGATTTCATATGTATGTTTGGGCTACTATTCAGACAAGTCGTGATGCAAATCAAGGATCGTCTGAGGCTCTCTCCCACAGATCTTAAACAGAATTTTCTTGCAACAATTTGTGTAAGCAGAACTGGACTTGGTTACATCTAAACCAAATTTATGTCCAGCTCTATGCACCTTGTTTATGTGTGATAAATCAGGATACTCCAGTTTAAATAATGGCAAGAAGCAGTGTTTCAGGAATGCGTTGGGAATGTACAGCATTTTGGTAAAGAGGAAGCTAATCCAAGATGTGCCATTTGCTTATATGCCTAATCCTGGAAGAACTGATTTATTTATAGAGAAAATGCACTTGGAACTAGTTTCCGTAATGCAAGTGCTGGTTTATTTGCTTCTTGGAAATGCATTCTATTTTTTTCTTAATGGCAAAATGTTTTTCATTGCTTGCTTGTTCAGTAGCAGAGTCACATTTACTATGAAGTTGGTGTAAATAGAGGTGGTAAAACTATTTGAAATTTGGACTTCCTCTTAAGCAGCTTTGTCCCACTGCTGTTGCCTTGTGTTTGTGATTAGTGTGTTGTGACATCCTCAAAGGCTGTACAGATCTGTCAAGTAAATCACTGTGATGATAGTGTAACATTGTGCATTCTGATTATTTGCTGATATTCCTTTCATAGGCTCATGAGGTTTTATGTTTGGAAATGCTCACCTTGCTTCTTGAAAGGCCTACTGATGACAGTATTGAAGTAGCAATTGGATTTATTAAAGAGAGCGGGCTCAAATTAACAGAAGTTTCTCCTAGAGGTATTAATGGTAAGTATAGTTAGCCAAAACATGTCTTTTTGTCATTTGTATTTAGTAAATCCTTTTCATATTTACATTTCTTTCTTTTCCAAAGCAATCTTTGACCGTCTTCGACACATTCTGCATGAATCTAAAATTGATATGCGTGTTCAGTATATGATAGAAGTCATGTTTGCTGTACGGAAGGATGGCTTCAAGGATCATCCAATTATTCCAGAGGGATTAGATCTAGTCGAAGAGGAGGATCAGTTTACTCATATGTTGCCATTAGAAGATGACTACAACCCAGAGGATGTTCTTAGTAAGTTAGAAATGGAAGATAATTCTGTGACTGCATTCCCTGAGAAAACAAAATCAAGATTAAATATTCATTGCTTTCTTCAATTTGTATTTTAAATAAAGATTCTCTTTTGTTTTAAAGATGTTTTCAAGATGGATCCAAACTTTATGGAAAATGAGGAGAAATACAAAACACTGAAGAAAGGTAGGGGTATTCGTGTGTATACACATTTTATATGTGATATTTATGTACTTACTTATCTGTGGCATTTACTTATCCAACTGTTGTTGCCAACCTTATTATTTAACAGTGGGGGATATTTCTGTCCTAAACAACTGTCATTCAGTTCACCATTGTGTTCCTGCTATTCAGTGTTGTTTCTCCAATGGTGTTTTCCTTTAATTATGGCATACCTGTTTTTTTGCATGTGCCACGTTCTCCACCTGAGATATCCTTTCCCTCTTTAGGTGTTGGATCAGGGATTTTTTTGTAATGAAAATATTGTGGTCTATATTCCTTAATAATATGGGATACTCCTCTTTCAGAAATTCTTGATGAAGGTGACAGTGAATCTGAAGGAGATCAAGAAGCTGGAAGTAGTGAGGAAGATGAAGAAGATGACGAAGAGGAGGGTGAAGATGGTGAGTGTATAACTGGCACCTTACTAGTGATTTATTGTAGATTAAATGGGAAAGCTTACCTTCTTAGCTGTTTTGCAAAACAAAGATGTTCAAATGTTAAGGGATGTTTTCATCTTATTCTCGGATCTAAGTGTTTACGAGCAAACAGTATAAAAGTAATTGTCTTAAAACATTCAACACAGGCAGAAACAGAAAAGCAACTTTGCCCTGTTATTCTTGACAGTATCAGTTTTCTGTGAGAAAAGCCTTGCAAGCAATGTTTGTGCAGACTGCATGAGTAATTGAAAAGCCAGTCAAGTATTGTTCTTGTGGAATAACAGTAATGGATTTCCTTACTAGTTTGCTGGGGTATTTCACAGAAGAGCAGAGCTTCCAGGCTGATGAAAAGTATGATCATTCACATAACTTTTCATCATTTATGCTTCAAACTTCAAAAGACTGAAGGAATAGTGAATATCTTACAAATGAGTGTTCACAAAATGGTTCGATTTAGAACAGATTTTTCTACACTTACTGCAGGACAAAACAGAACTTTGCAGAATGATCTAACATAGATCCTACACATAATAGAAACTAAGAATTACCTGCTAAAATCAGGGGTGCAACATAAAGCATTGTATAGCTAAATTGTGCAGAAAACAGGTTGCTAATAATGTAGACAAGAAATGTTAAATCCAGAGGTTGCAGTGACTAAGTCACTGAAAAGTCTTTAAAAGAAGAATTTAAAAGTAGAATTATCCTGTTAAAACGATATTTAAATATTCCTGTTAGTTACAGATGAAGCAAATAACGATTTTTTTTCCTTATCTGTAAAAATAAAGATTAAAAAAATACGTAAACATGACAAGCAGTCCTAAATATTTCTAGAAAAATAGGGCGCTACAGATGTAGTAAACGATAAATAGAGCTCTGCTAAGAGATTGCTACATGTATCTTCCTTAATGTTTTGTTCTTTACAAAACCATGTTTTTCTTTTCCAGGCCAGAAAGTTACTGTTCACGACAAAACAGAAATTAACCTGGTCTCATTCCGTCGTACAATTTATCTTGCTATTCAGTCAAGGTAAATAGAATATGATTTGTACACCTATAAGTGTAGTTCTTTTGAAATGGGTGAACTCTAATTTTCTTTCTTTTAAAATTCTTTTTTAATATGAAATTTAAAAAAAAAACAATAAAGTAGGGAAGTGTTCATTATGGAGCCTGACCTGACTGTGTAAAGCAGACTCTTTCTAAGATAAATCTTGTTTGTTTCAAAATGTTTTGAGTAGTGAACTGGGACTTTTCTATGACTATTGCTGTAATCAGAATTTTCTCAGTGAATGAAAGTCAGTGATCTTTAGATTATACAGCATTTTAAGAATTTATGAAAAAAATTACACAGACACACTCAGAAATGCTGTAGATTTTCTCCACTTCTGAGAGGAGTTCTGCAGTGTGGTTCTCCTTAGGCCCATTAACATCTGCATTGCTTGGAAAATAAGTGTACAGATACCAACCCTGAAGTGTACTCTGTTTGAAGTTGTCTTGAGAATGAAATCCCCTTGCAGTACGTGGCACAACATGGTGGTTTAGCTCCTGTCTCATCAGGATGAGAGGGGAGATTGACCTGTTGCATGCCACTGAATTCCATCATTAAAAGTAGGCATGGCTCGTAATACTCTGCAGGTCTGAACTTGCATGAGGAGTGTGATAATGTAGTTGTGGTGTTGATCATTAGACATGTGAATTAATACCATACTGAGAGGTGTGAAAGGCTCTTACGTTTCTCAAAGTTGCTGTTAAATAGTTTCTTGCCATACTTGAGTTTGTTCATCTTTTACTTGGGTGAGAGGAGGTATTGGTGGTAGCTAAAGGCTTCCAGAACAGGAATGTAAAGAGGAGAGTGTGGTATATACTGCTTTTGGATCTTATGTGCAGTGCTTGCATTTCAGAGTGTTTGAGGATGTGCAAAATGAGCTCCTGCTTTTTAATGTTTTATGTAGTTTTGTAAGATGATGTAATAATAATGACTTGAGTCATCCTGTTCTCAGATGGTTCACAAATGTAATCAATTTGGATTAATTTTCAGATACAAACTCAGGAAATACAAATGTTTATTAAAACCCCCCACAACAACAATAAAAATCCAGCAAGTTAAACAGCTGAGATACTTTATTTCCAAATAGTTGAAGTTTCAGCACCAACAATCAATCTTCATATATTAATTCTGAAATGTTTTTAGCATGGCATATATTGCACAGATAATGAGAAGTATTTTTTCTATTCAGCTTAGACTTTGAAGAATGTGCTCACAAACTGCTGAAGATGGACTTCCCTGAAAGTCAGACTGTAAGCCTTGCTTCTTACTCTTTTTTGTTATTAACATTATTAAGAAACAGTACTATGGTAGTGTCTGAAATCCTTGCCCATGTTCTGGGACCTAGTCTGTATAGCAACCAGAGGAATGAGAGTGATTCCTTACAGCTGTTGCTCAAAATGAATTTCACAACCTTTGGAGCAAATAGACTGACACATATTTCATAGGCAATTTGTCTTATGCATTTGCTCTTTTCTGTCAAGCAACTCAAATGTTTGCTCGTAGCCTGTTTGAGAAGTTCTTGTTTGGACTGTTGAAACTTTTATCCTGTGACAAGAGTGTTGCAGCATGGCAGTCACTCTCAGAGTTCTGTCTCTGAAAGAAGGTGGGGTTGAAGATATTTGCAGACAACTGTAGACTTTATCAGTGGGGTTTGAAATTTAGCATAGTGCTAAAAGAGTGTGTTGTTTTGTTGCTTTCACAGTCTTCTTTGAATAAACAGTGTACTGAATTAAAGCAGTTTTGAGTATGATTGCTTTGCTGTAATCTTGTGGAGTATCAGATATAAGCTGTTTTGTTTTCAGACTCTGTAAGATCAATACAATTGGTATGTTTTCAAGTAAAGGAAATTGTTCTTCCTCTGGTACTTACATTTGATATTGGTAGAATGTAAATACCCATCTAATTTTATAAACAGCTTTTCAGTCAGCTGTAAGCTATCATCATGGGAGTTGCACTGGAGAGAGCTGGTAATTTCCTTGTGGCTTTAATTACTGTTCTATTTGAAACAATGTATGTAGTTACTAACCTTATTAGTATAACACTAGTGAGAGGAGATCTGGGCTATGGTTAGATGTTCTTTGAGAACTGATTTGCCCATGAGTTTTTCAATTCTTGTTCTATTTTGTTATTAAGCAATTTACATGGAAGTAAACTAAGAACTGAGAAGGGGGAGGGGTTTAACTAGTTCTCTAATTCTGTGCATGAAATGCAATACTAAGCACGCACAAGATTATAATTCCCAGTGAAGCATAACCTGAATAATTCTAAAGAGAAAAATAATTTCTAGCAAATCAATTCAGCTCTGAAGAACAGAGCTAACAATCTAGAATATAGGTACTACGTCATATAACAGTCATAATGCATAACACTACTTGCTTGTTAGATAACTGCTTAGAGAACTGGCATTTAATTTCATGGCAGTCTCTGTCAACTCCGAACTTCTGTGGGCAAAATCTGTTCAGAAAAAATAAATTTCAAAGGGAAGGAAGAAAACCTCAACAATTAGTATCAACCTACTATTCAGTACTAGTTTTAGGAATTACTGCAATTCAAGGTCCAAAACTGTTGCAAAACTGCATCTTCTTATCATGTGAGGCCTCTTCTTTGTGCTGATTTCTTTTTTCTCTAATAATCGTAATTACTCTCCGTCTCATTTGATCAAAGATGAGAGAGCTTTGACTTGCTCATTGTATAGAACTAAGCTCCTTTTTGGGGGCAAAAAGAAACTAAGAAGATGCTTCCTGATCATTGTAAGAGCAGAAGGAACAAGCAGTTATAGGCAATAAAATTATTCAAGGATTTGTGAGGCTCAAGTCTGTCCATGTGGATAAAAAAAACCTTAATGCACTCAGGAGGAAATTTGTTTGAATTAACTGCCAGTTTTTAAACTAGGAAAATCATTTTTTATTCTTTCAAGCTAGTATCTTCAAATTGAAGCCTTTGTTGAATCGATTCCCACTGTCTTCATTATCAGAATAAACCATTATTAAGTTTGCAGATGACACCAAGTTGGGCGGGAGTGTTGATCTGCAGGAGGGCAGGAAGGCAGAGGGGTCTGGACACACTGGATGGATGGGCTGAGGTCAACGGTGTGAGGTTCAATAAGTCAAAGTGGCAAGTCCTGTACTTGGGTCACAACAACCCCAGGCAGCGTGACAGGCTGGGGGAAGAGTGGCTGGAGAGCTGCCCAGGAAAAAAGGACCTGGGGATGCTGGTCAACAGCTGGCTGGATGTGAGCCAGCGTGTGCCCAGGCAGCCAAGGCCAATGGCGTCTTGGTCTGTATCAACAACAGAGTGGCCAGCAGAACCAGGGAAGTGATTGTCCCCCTGTACTCAGCACTGATGAGGCCACACCTTGAGTGCTGTGTGTGGCTGAGGGAGCTGGAGTTGTTTAGTCTGGAGAAGAGGAGGTCAAAGGGGACCTTACCGCTTTCTACAAGTACCCAAAAGGAGGTTGCAGCGAGGTGGGACAGGACCAAAAGAAATAGCCTCAAGTTCCACCAGGGGAGGTTTAAATAAGGTGTTAGGAACAATTTCTTCAGTAAAAAAGAAAGGTTGGTCAGTTATTGAAACAGACTGCCCAAGGAAGTGGTAGAATCACCATCCCTGGAAGTGTTCAAAAGATGGGTTTATGTGGCACTTGAGGTTATGATCTAGTGGAGAACATGATGGTGCTGGGTTAATGGTTGGACTTGATGATCTTAGAGATATTTTCCAACCTTAGTGATTCTATGATTCTTTACTATTACTTTTTTAGCCATAAAGCACCTTTTTCTTTTTTGGTCTGTTTTACTGAAAGCTTCATTAACTGCTGTGCAACACAAGCGTTTGTATGCTTAATACCAGCAATGGATCTGTCTCACAGCTCTGACTTGAAGAAAGAGGATTAAGGTTCAAATGGATAATCTACAGACTAGAACAACATAATACTGCTTTTTGGCATTGCAGTTTAGTACCAGCTGCTGAGGGGGATGTCAACAGTCCTCTGATTATTTTTTTAGAGAGGAAAGACATTCAAAGAGTTGAAATTCTTTCTTTTCTAAGTAAATTTTCTAGGAGTAGGTTTGCTTTTATTCATGTTACTTAGACCCAACTGAAACCTGCAGATCAAAAGTTGAAAAGCTTTGTTGTAATGTGTACTACAGCCTATGAGAAGCTGTTCTAAACAAGCCTTGCAGTTGCTTTTTTGGACATATGCTTAGTCTTGGCAGAGAACACTATTTCTCTTTTTTTAAAAAGTACTGTTATTATCTGTGTTAAAGCTACATTAATCCCATGCATTACTAAAGAAGACAATTTAAATAAATTAAAACTGTGGTTGGAGTATGGTATTATCATTTTTTCTGACTTCTGAACTATGAGGAAAGCAAACAAGCCCTACTGAAATGTCAGAAATAGGCTTTTTACATTATGCTTACCCTGAACAGATTTTTGTTGCCTCTGGTCTTGGAGGGAGTACATTTCAGTTTCTGGCATTTTTAGTTAAAAAAACCCCAAAGAGTTGAGTTTCCTCACAGTAATAAAAGAGTATGCTGGAGTGACAACTGCTTAGATGTAGAATTGATCCTTCTTTAAGAAAACATAGATTAGGAATATAGGGCTGTTTTCCTTTTTTCTTTCTTTTTTTGAAGATGGAAATGTCATGACTTGTTGCCCAGTCTCCCTCAAGGGTGGTGAGGACAACCAAAAAATTAAACCAACCATACATTGTTCTTGCTCTTTGAAAGTGGGCCTAAAAGGGTTTGGTTTTTAGGCTTGTCTTCATTTTTTTTACTTGTGATAAGAACTAAATTTGTGTACAGCAGTGCTTGAAACTTCACTCAGGTTAGAACCTCTTCTGTATCTGCCCCTCAATCTGGTATCCCAGACAAAAGTAATGGATCATGGGATTTTTTATTTTTTTTTACTTGAAATGAGAAAAATTATTGTAGGCACAGCCTTCTTGAAAGAATTATGTGTGCATCTGACACATCTTCATTTTTACAGGATGGTGTCACTTGCTCAAAGCAACCTTAGTTGGAGGGGTGGGAGTGTCAGTGTCTCATGTTATTTATGCATCGAGTCTTGAAGATAACAGAAGTACTTATGTTGACTTGACATTCAGTGAAAATGTTGTTCAGGAAACTGGTGTAGAGTGGGATGGTTTAAAGCTGATAATTCTATTCAGGTCAAATGGATGATTTCTTAGATTCATTGCTTTCCTTTCTAATTTGGAGGGTATTGCAACTGGTAGGTTTGGCATCTGCACCATGATTAGTTCACAGAGTTGCTACTGCCTGTAAAAGGTGCTCATCCCCAGGTAGATTTCCTGTCTTCTGAAGCAGGACTTTTCATGGGCCTGAGATGTGGAATCAGTCTGAATTTTCATAATTTATCAATTAAGAAAAAAGCATGTACAAGCCATATTGTGGTATATGTTGATGTTTAGAAAATCAAGGTATAGAATCCATACAGAATAAGCTTGTATTTGTGTGCTACTGATAGCAGGCATTAGCTAGAATTCTGACTAGACTTTGATCTTCTAAGCATGTATGTATGCATGCATTTAACCTAAGGGGATGGAATTGTTCAGATTACCTCAGTGGAATCACTTAAAATGAAGTTTTGCATGTGTAACCTTCAGGTGGAAAGAAAGAAACACTGTGGGGGTTTTATGTATTATTTCACCAGACTCTTTTGTGTGTGTTTGTGTGTTGCAGACTTGTAGCACCGTGAATGAAAAATATATCTATGCTTATATCCAGTTAATGATTCCTGTGTAAAAAGTTAAGTCTGATTTATGCGAGATTTTTGATTACCATATTCAACTTTAAGCATATGTTACTCTAAACATAGAACAAAGTTGGGGTAAAAAATGGTAAATAAAGGGACAAAAGTTGAGGAAGACTGTTAGCTGACCATGGGACAGACTTGGAGACAGTGTAGTAGCTGCCAAAAGCACTTCATATAGGTTGCGGAGAGGCCACCTGCTACTGAAACACCTTTCATAGCTTTGCCAGCCTTGGCTCCATGTGGTAATTTGACAAATAAGGAAGAAAAAGAGCACAGATGCTGGAAAAAATAGGCCTGTGTGATTGTTACACATATTAAAATATGCAGCAGTAAGCAAAGCTTTAGGGTAGTCAGAGGAAGTAAAATACACTTCAGTGAAATGAAAGAGAAAAAAGGAAAAATTTAGAGTCTGTAAAAGCAGTGCACATATATAAAATGTAAGGCACTCATTTCACGTAATTCCAGTTGCACATTGATTTAAATGAACCTATGTCCTTCATTAGGTTTGCTCCCAGCAAATCAATTCCTTTAGTTGTATGAAGAAACTCCTAGAAACCAAGGGTTGGCATTGATAGTCTTCTATTTTAAGAAGCTGCATTAGCTTACTGGGTGGGGATGTCTTGTGGTGGTTTCAGTTTGTGTATGCAATGGATGGAACAGAGCTGTGGGGTTGGCAAGGGAGGGGAGCTGCAAATGGCATCGCTGCCGGCTAGGGAGGGGAGTAGAGACTCCTCATGAAGGAGGTCTTCTCAGCCTGTGGGGCAGCTCCAAAATTCCAATCTTAGCTGAATGCAAGTCTTAAAGAAATTGCAAAAATGAGGAGAGAAAGATGGAGGGAGATGACGGGGGGAAGTACTAGCTGTAAAAAAGAACCCATGATCAGAAGGGAGTGAGAAAGCTGAGTTACTTTAGCTCTCCGTCTGCAGTGAACATAGCCTTTGGGTAAAGCTGAGAGCATATAGACTGGGCAGGATGTGCTTGTTTTTAAAATGGTAAAACTGGGGCAAAAAAAAGTCCAGCATTTTTGTCTTTTCCGGGCTTACCCTTTAGCATCTTCAAATGTATGATGATAGTTGCCATGTTAGGTGGAACCACGGTTCACCTAAACCATTGCTCTGTTTGGGTGAGAGCTAGTTGGAAATGTTTAGGGAGTAGTGTGAGAAGTGCAGTGCATTTAGAGGGAGCTTTTCTCTTTATCTTCTGTCTTAGCAGTTTTGGGAAGTGCTGTTGTTATCCCTGATACAATGATAAATTCAAGATCTTCACAAAAGATCATTCACCATCTGTATGAGATGACAGGTATTTTTGAAGTGGTTTATTTCATGACTGGATAGCTATATGTACTTTCTTAACTAAGCTGAGTAGTCACTTGCTGAGCATTGAATGAAAATCGTTGAACAACACAATATATGAATTACCTGTAAAATTGGGGAACGAATTCATTCTGTTCTTCAAAACAAGTGATGGGCTAAATAACACAGGCTCTTCCTGCCATAAACATCATTGGGAGTACAGAAATGAGTTAACTAACCTTTGAAGCTGGAAATTAAGCTGGAATTGCCATTTGAACTTGTCGCATCTCTCAAAAAAAAAATTAAATAATTTTTAAGTTTGTTAATTTTAAATCTGGAAGACAGTTACCCTAAACTTAGCCTCGAGTTGTTTAGATAACACTAGCGAGAATGTCTTTATGGGCAAATCTATTTTCATGCATGTGGTTATTCAAGATACCCTCCTAGAAATCTTTGTAATATTTAATTAAAATGTTAAAATATTTAATTACTGTAAACCACAGGGGATACCAATGTTATAATTGCATTTAAGATGAGGAAGAAAAGTAATTTGTTTTTCAAGTCTTCCTGATGTTATTAACAGTGACATCAGCACTTTACCCTTTTTATTGTTTAAAAACTGATTAACTGCAGCAATCCTATAAAATGGGATAATATAAAAAATTGATATGCATTTTAATACATCACACTAACAGAGTGTGACAGTGTTAAAAGGAATGCCTTCAAACACATCTGTAAGTTTATTTGGTACATTACTGCCTTGTTATTTGGGGGAGTATTTTTTTTTCTTCTTCAGCATGGTTGGCCTTTTATTTGTTTTGAGTTTTTATGATGGGCAAAAATGTTTCTTCTGAATATATGCTTGGAAGAGTGGCACAAGTGGGAGAATATGAAATCTAGTATATGCTATAATAAATTTGTTTGAGAACAAAACGCTTGAAATCATCCTTCTCTATGGGAATGTTAATATTAGTTTAAAGAGAAATTAAACTAATAATGAAAGGTACATGACTGACAGCCAGAAACATATTTGGAAGTGTCATAAATTGGATTATGCTATGGAATTGGTCTTAATGAGAAAACAGGAAAAAAAAGGGAATGGGGAAAAACTGCAATGCAGTTCAAGCATTGTGTATTTCATGGCTGTTAATTTATATAAATTTTTTTTTTTTTTCACTTTTCTTAATTAATGTTTCCAAATGTGTCCTAAACCAATTTCTAGCTGTATTACGATCTGTAACTTACATAGTAGGTCAGGGGAATAGGTTTGGTTTTAAACTCATGTAGGCTTACTTGCCTGGCTCAGTGCTCTCAGCCAGTGGAGGGTGCTGGTCCTGGAAGGGAGGGTACAGAGCAGAATCCATCCGTGTGTTTCCCTCTGGTTCTTGGATTGGTGCGTGTGAAAGAAGAGGAGGAGGAAGCTGCCAGAGGTTGATCCGATAGTGATCTTGGGGTGATAGTATTGGGAGACAACGAGAAAGGGAGACAGTCAGTCTGTATTCCAGAAAGACTGGACTAATGTTCCAGGTGGTTGGTGTAAGGGAAGGAGAGCATCTTCTGTTGCTTACATCTGTGTTCACCATGGAGACGGGAAAATGAAAGGCAGGCTGTCAATGAGGGGGGATGCACAAAAGTTTAGGGAGACTAATCTAGCTAGGCTTCCTCTGCTTCTTCCTAGGCAAGGAGAGATGCTTTCCTAAAGGGTGATTCTGAATATGAGCCTAAACAGCTGCTTTAGAAAAGTTCCTCTCGTTCTCTTTGTTATAGAGTAAGTCTAGGCATGTTGGCCTCCCAGGGTTGAGTTTAGTCTTTCTGAACATCACCCTCAGGACTGAAGCAATTGCACTGTAATGCAGCCTTTTGCTTGCAGAAGCTTGTCAGGAAAACTATGGTTGAATAGTTAAAGGTATTAGTATATACAAAAAACTACAGATACTTCTGATTTTGGAAATACACTGCTAACCATGGCGTTTTCAAATGGCTTGTCTGTAAGCCATTTTGACATTTGAAAGTTGTGAAGAGTTTTCATTTTCCATAAATGCAGGAATTGGTGCTATTTAAAACAAACCAAAAACCCCAAAAACAAAACCAGTAAAACCAAGCAACACACAAACAAAAATAAAACCACCAAAGAAGCCTTCAAAACCTTACCTTTTATCTTATAGCTCCTTTTTTCACTGTGGTAAAGTCAGTTTGTAAATGAGTTCTGACTTTTTTTTTTATTAGATACACAGTGTGTTAGAGGAAATTTGAAGGGCAAAAGTTCATATTCACATCCCAGAGGAATTCACAAAACTACTGGTGTCACTAATGAAGTTTTATGTAAATGCTTGTTTCAAAGCTCGTACCCATGTAAGGCTTTCTTCAGTTATTTGGTACTTAGTGATGGGTTTTTTGCTGCTACAGTGAATTTACCTAAAGAAATATTTTTTTCTTTCCCTAACCCAGAAAGAACTCTGCAATATGATACTTGACTGCTGTGCTCAGCAAAGAACATACGAGAAATTCTTTGGGTTACTGGCTGGGGTGAGTTCTGTTTAAAAATTTTATGCTTTATGATAGAAAATTTCATTGGTTTATTCTACTTTTTGTGTGTCAAACTTAAGTTTTAATGGATAAATAAAACTAATAGCCTTTTTATCATTCTGCAAATGCTTACGTCAGTTAATTGTGTTAGTGGATTGAATTAACGTTTTGATTTTAATAAGCATAGTGAATGCAGAATGAGAGAACTCATTTTCCCTTTATAATATTGCTTATTTTGCCTTCCTTTTTTCCTCATTATGGTAAAACAATAAATCAGTGGCAAAGAAATGGTACTAAAAAGACAAAAGTATTATGAGTTACCAGAAAATAGCCTTTTTACAGTGCTGAATATTAATTTTGGAGACTCTTGTCATTTACCACTTCTTTCAGAACTGCTTAGTAGGACTAATTTAGAGCGCAAGATTGAATACTTACTGTCCCAGGCCTGTGAGTGTTTTGTTTGCTTTTCAATAAACAGCTAACTCTCTGCTTTTGTGTAACTAACTGCTAATTTAGTTGCAGTGATTTCTTACTTAGGTTTTTCTTATCAATAATATTGACAGATCTGAAGAGTTAAGATTAAATACTTGTATTCTAAAGGGGGCAAGTTATGCTGAAAGGGAGTGTTTTTTCTCATCTGTATTTGTCGTCCAGTACTTGAGGAAATCCATCTGCTGACAGTCAGTTACAAAGCACTAACAATATGAATCTGCATGTTCAGATGAATATAAATTTTTATTTCCATATTCTTTGGAATGTTTAGATCCAAAATGTCTTAACCTCTGTGTTTCCTGCTGCTTTGCTAAATTGAAATAGTCATTCAGTAATGTCATGAAAAAAGTGAGGTTATATCTGGTGAAAATACTGGATGTATACAAGTAAAACAAATTGCTGGATAATTTGCTGTAGTTCAAAATTGATAATTACTACTTTGCAATGCAGATGAGTTTCTTGTTCTGACAACTGCTCAAAGCAATAAAATATATCCATTTGAATGTGTATTCTCTTCCTCCAAGGGTTATTTAAAAAGGAAATTTTGCAGTAAATAATCACACCATTAGGTCACTTACATTTAGGTTATTTGCATATTTAGTATTTTGTTTTATCTGGTTGTTTAAATTGTACAATTTTGTCTCAGCGTTTCTGCATGTTAAAAAAAGAATACATGGAATCCTTTGAAGCTATTTTTAAAGAACAATATGATACCATTCATCGTTTGGAAACGAACAAACTGAGAAATGTTGCCAAGATGTTTGCTCATCTACTATACACTGATTCAATTCCCTGGAGTGTAAGTTAAAAACAAAGACCTATTGTCATAGATTTCTTTTTCAAGAGGTAATCTCCAGTACTCCACAATAATATATAATGTATTAGTTCTAGTATTTGTTCTGCAATTTGGAACTACTTGTACTTGTAGCAAACTGGATTATGTTAAGTATCTTCTCAGACACTGTTGAACAATTCTGGTTGGTTCCATCTCCTCTTTTTGCCTCTTCTGCATCATAATTCTTCCTCACCGTTTTTCAGCAGTTCATTTAAGCTGTTACTTTATGGAACTCAGCTGGAATTGGTTGATTAAAATGTACATCTTTTAGAAAAGAATTTTGAACTTTTGATATATTAAATTAAAAGTTGTGTAGAATTATAAGACTTTTAAAAATATTGCCATTTTATGATTTAAGTACCATATAAGTAAAAGCAATCTTGCATTCTGAGATATAATAACATTAAAATAATAACATATCTGAGATATAATAACATATTATATCTGAGATATAATAACATTAAAAAATGAAGAAATAAATATAGGGTAACTTTTCTTTTCAAATCATTTTATTCTTGTTTCATAGCCTAGTCTAATTATCATTCTTCAGGCACACATTACAGGTGGTAGAAAAGAATTTTTGAAAAAGATAGTCTTGACTAGGAATCATAGAATTCATGGTCTTTTGAAAAAAAAAGAAATAAAAATCAGTCTTTATTAGTTATTTCTAACAAAATTTTTAAGATAAATAAAAGAATGTATGTTTAAACTTAAGGGTTTATATTTTTCTGAACGTTTTCAGGTCCTTGAATGTATAATACTGAGTGAAGAAACTACCACATCCTCCAGTAGAATTTTTGTCAAAATATTCTTTCAGGAACTCAGTGAATATATGGGACTTCCTAATTTAAATGCAAGATTAAAAGATGAGTAAGTAGAAATTTTATTTTCAAAACTGTAAATTTAATGAGCTCCTTTATCTGAAAAAGTACAGATAAGAACTCTGTGTTCAAGTTCAACTAAGTTCTGTAGCTGCAGTACTTCAAGAATAAGTTCATGTATAGATTTAGTCATTGCAAAGACTCATATTAAGCTGAGTGTATTACCATCATTTTGGGTTCAAGTATGTGCATGACTGTTTGCAAGATATTTCTTCCCCCTCTCGCCCCCCATAATGATATTCGTCTTTGTGTAAGAATTTTCCAAGTGTGAGTTTATTTTTATATACTGTCAGCTATATAGATGCATATTAAATGACACCATGGCTTCTCTTTCTGACAAAAATTAGAAAAAAACACACAATTATTAGTAACAGGTTTTCTAGGATCAGTTGCTTATCTTTAAGTGTGGTGTAAATAACACGTTCTTTTAACTCTGTATGGGATTTAATGCACTGCATTCCGGCAATGTTACTCTCAATTGCTTGAGCTGTTTCATCTAAGTTGGCATTTCTTCTATGTATGATGAAGAATTTGGTAGATGATTTAGCTCTTGTAAACTTAAACTTGAAACTATACTTAAGGCCCCGTATAATGGGGTTTCAACATAGGTACCTGCATCTTTGACCTTCTTGGTCAATGCACGTTATCCTTTGCTGTCACAGGCTGCTGCAATTTCACAAGTCGCTTAAGGGCTTCACATGATCTGTCAGTATGTAGCAATTCTGTGTGTGAAGAAGTTTGCTTTTCATAAAAGAGCAAGTTTTTAAATAGCATTTGATTAGATGCACCATAGATGCAAACAATGAAAGTGTTGAAAAATGCATGAAGAGAAACCTTGCTCTCCTGTGGAGATCCATACAGTTTCTTTTTTCAGTTTCTTGATGTCAGTGAGAGTGCTGAGCTGGCATGGTTTTTAATTTAGATATTTGTTTCCATCAGGACACTGCAGCCGTTCTTTGAGGGATTATTGCCTCGGGATAACCCAAGAAACACTCGCTTTGCCATCAATTTCTTCACTTCTATTGGCCTTGGAGGACTAACGTGAGGAACACTTCTGATTTGATATTCACTTTCTTCATCTTCCCTCCCCCCTACGAACAAAAAAATAAAATTGAAAAACAAATTTTTTTTTTTTTGCTAATTAGAGATGAATTACGGGAGCATCTTAAAAATGCACCAAAGTTAATTATGACACAGAAGCAAAATGTTGAGTCATCGGATTCCTCTTCATCTTCAGAGACAGACTCTTCCTCAGATTCTGATTCTGACAGCAGCAGTACTAGCTCAGAGTCATCCAGCAGCAGTGACTCTTCATCTAGCAGTGACAGCAGCAGTGACTCAGGTACTTAAACACTAGCTGTATAACTGTTTACTTCTCATTTACTTGTGTTTATTTACATCTGTTTATTTCTGTTTCTATATATGCTTGTTTTGAGGAAAATCTGACTATAAACAGTGTTAATTTCTCTGCTTTAAAAACTGATCGATTCATTTTTAACTTAGTTTTAAAATATTAAATATTGCTTATGGAAATTTATTTTTGAATGTAGAAAAACTGAGTTCCATTTTTAGAGATTTAAATATCTGAGAAACATTGCTTTGTAGATTACTTTTTTACACAGTTGATACCTGTTGCATACTACTATGATCTCAGTTTATTGGAGAATGGAGGAATTAGAGTCATTCCCTATTAATATCTCTGTGGGATGTTTACTGGTGAACTGTGGAGACTCATGTCCACAACTCTGTTTTGCTTGGCTTGACTGAGTGAGCTTGATACTACTCGTGTCCTTCCCAGTAAAATATGTGCTTCTTCGTGAGTCAAAAATTTACTTTCTTCAGTTCTAGCAGTCTATTTAAACATTATTCTTCATCTGAGGCTCCATTTCTAATTCCTCTTCTTCAGGAAGAGTTTGTGTGGTGATACTGTGAAGGTTCTTGTCTGTAGAGAAATCTCCAAGGAAGAATTAGCTTTTGCCAACAACTTAGTATTTTTATGCATTATAATTAATGTTTAGCATCTTATACCATCCTGCTGATGTAGAACCTTTATCTGACATGAATTGTCATAAACATTGCTCAGTCTTTAAAATACATGCTAGTATGAGTTAGTGTGTGCAGTCTCCCCCAGTATATACACGTGAGCAGATGATAGCACAGCATGACTTCCTGCAGTACAGAGGTTTGCTGATTCAAAGTTAATTTGATTTATTATGTGCCTTTGAAGTGAAAGTGTTGATTTATAAAATAAAAGCAGTGTGAACTGCTCATGCTTTGGAAATGCACTTCAGTTCTCCATCACAGTCTTAGTGCACAGGAGTCTGGGTTGTGTGTCATCACACTAATCGCATTAATGACGACAGCACTAGAGGAGGGCACAGTCAAACAGGGTCAGAGGAGGCACTGGTTCAGCACAGAGCCAGATGGCTCCTGTATGGGCAGCTGCAGCTCTGCTGAGCTGCTTGATAGGAACCAGAGGGGGAAGTCCTTAGTGACAAACCAACTGAGTCTGCAGTCTGCCAGTGCGAACACTTATTTTTCGAAGTTTAGGACCGTGGCTTCTACTACTTGCCTTTTTTCCATTCAGGAACATATTCATTAAAATTTGAATCTTGATACCTTTGCAACCTGGTTTCACTTTTCTTTTTCAGGTTCTTGTGTACTTTAATACAGTGATCAAAACACTAATTGGAAGTAACTGTACTCTAATGGTAAACTTAGTTGAGGCCCATTACTGGTTATAACTCCAAGTCTTCCTGTGTTTGCAGCTTTTTAAATCTGTAAAATAACTTGGAAGAGTTAAAAGGCATTTTTCAGAGGAATGTGCTGTAGTTTTTCAGTGTTTTAACAGTGCAGTGTATAACAGAAAAATAGAAAACCTGCTAATTAGAAACTGAGAAATTGAGCATACAGCTAAATTAGAGGTTACTGTCTTACTGCCAGTTAATGTTTGGGACTTCATCAGCTAGCTCAGCTCAGCACTGCTCTGGGGAGGTACTTCTAACCAAAACAGGTCTAGCAGAGGATGAAATTTATCTGTTATCAAAGCAGCTGGTTCTTTTCTGTTTACTTTCTTGGGTCTTTTTCTGCATTCTAGTGGATGTAAAATAGTATGGAAAACACTGTTTAAAAAACTTAATCCATTAGAATGTATCTGAATTGATCCATCATTGCATTTGTCAGAATGTCAGAAAGCCTTAGTTCAGACATGAGACTAGACAACTGCTGTAGAATTCAGGTGTTATACAGAGTAGTCAGTTTATGGCTGTGATATTTCAAAAGCTGATGTGATACTATAGTTCATACAATAAAGTGAATTAATGGTTATTCTAAATGGCAGTTAGTGATAAATACTGTCAAGTGGAATCTGGAGGTCCCTGGTAAAGAGCAAACAGGAAAGGTAAGGCCTCTTCCACTGATATGAGCATTGCTGTGTATTTAGAAATACAGAAGTTAATCTTGTTGACAAAGCTGTCACTACTTCTCCTGAAAAACTGAGCCCGAGGGCCATTGTTATATTGCTGCAGTACCATTATCTCAAGCCATTTCATCATCCCTCTATTTCTGCATAGGATAGTGTTGGAGATTTTTCCCCATCTGCTGTTTTTAATCTCCATTGACTGAGAAGCTTTTCCAGGAAAAGTAAATGATTTTGAGACTGGATAGTCTGGGAAAGGTCATCTTCCCCCCCTAAAAAAAGATTATTTGTGAGAGTGCTTTGATGTATAACTTTACAGCCTATGCCTGGTCATTTTGTATCAAGTCAACAAGAGGATGATGACAGGTAGAGGTTTTCAAAAGACAGGCATCACTTGCAGAGAGCTAAGGGGTAAAAATCAGAGTTCATTATTTTGGAACTTTTGTCCTTATACAATGCACACACAAATTTTTTGACAAAAAAATAGCTCTCTACAATTTTATCTGTAGCTTAATAAGTTAAATATATTAAATTAAAATGCAATCTTAGTCCCATAATTTGTTATAATTTCAGATGTTTCTAAAACCAGAAGAAGGAGAATGCAGAAGAAAAATAGAGAATCCAATAAAGTTTCCAGGAAAAAGCAAGAAAGGAAAAGGAAATCTGTTGAAAAGAAAATGGGAAGGAGGCATCAAGAGGAAAGAAGTGATACTGAGAGCAAATCAGAAAGAAATCACCGACATTTAAGAGAATCACACAGAGATGATGTGTCAAAATATCATCACAGAGATGAGTCCAATGGCAGAGATGGTTACCATAGTGGAAAAGATAGGAACCAGGACAGAACTAAGGATCTGGAAAATAAACACAGTAATTCAAAAGTTAAGAAAGCAGACAGAAGAGCTTCTTTGTCTGATGATGAAAATTACAGACACTGGAACAAAGATAATGGACATCGCAGTAGAAAAAGAGAGAGAGAGAAATCCAGAGAGGGAGACCGTGACCATTCAAGTCCGAGAGAGGAGGAACAAGAGGACCGGTACAGAAATGGTTCGGAGAAACACTGGGAGAAGTACAGCCGCTACTCTGACCAGTACAGGGAACCCAGGGAGAATGAGGACAGGGAGTCCAGGGTGAACAAGGACAGGGAACCCAGAAGGAATGAGGAGAGGGAGCTCAGGAGGAATGAGGAGCGGGAGCCCAGGAGGAACGAGGAGAGGGAGTCCAGAAGGGAGGAGGAGAGGGAATCCAGGAGGAACGAGGAGAGGGAATCCAGGAGGAACGAGGAGAGGGAATCCAGGAGGAACGAGGAGAGGGAATCCAGGAGGGACGAGGAGAGGGAGTCCAGGAGGGACGAGGAGAGGGAGTCCAGGAGGAACGAGGAGAGGGAACCCAGGAGGAACGAGGAGAGGGAATCCAGGCGGAACGAGGAGAGGGAACCCAGGAGGAACGAGGAGAGGGAACCCAGG